TTATGTTCGAAATGTTCGCTTTGAAGCAATACATTGGAGGAAACAGATGTTGGTGCGTCCACAAAACCAAAATTTCATGTTGATGAAAAAAAGCGAAAGCTTGGATCATGCAGGGAAACTTGTGGAGTCAAGCATTTTTTAGTTATACTGATAAAATTCACTATGAGATGAGAAAAGGGCGAGTGTAGAGCAGTGGTTGGAGGCGCCCTGCAATACACATGGGAACGATTCACGCTCACAAGGCTTGCCAAGCCTTCCATCCTTCGGGGTCGGCAAATTGTTACCAGACTTGTCTGGGGGTATAGCAGCACTGGCTCGATACATCGCTAGGCCACCACGAGTAAAAGCTAGATATGCAACCAATCGCCTCCAAACGATGTTTAATGAAGTGGAATGCCTGTCACATCCCTCAAGGATAGAGCAGCGGCAGTTGCTTTATCCTTTATTTTTTTATTCTAGTAAACTATTACCATATTACTGTAAAAGCAACGCGGTGACCAAGAAACTATGACGAAATACAGGAGGATTCGCTTTTGAACATAGTGTACATTTGCGCCATTCACATGGTTGCCATCATGCGACTAATAGGTCCTCAAATTAATGTTATGCTGCTAAATTAGGACAAAAGAAGAAAGATAAGTGCACATCCACAGTTTCATATCCAGTGAAATTCGCTGACATGAGATCTTTTAGTTGCATGACGGCAATCCTGTGAATGGCCCAAATGTACACTATTACTGTGAAATAAACTCTGCCGATCACAAACTGAAGAAATTCTCTAAGACGTGCGAGGGATTTCTCATCTACAATAGTGGAAAATTTTACATAAATTATATAGAGCCCACGATATGGTAGAATAAAAAGAATAGAAGAACAAAATGAACAAATAAAAATAAACAAAACACTAATAAATAAAGTAAATATAATAAAATAAAAACTATGAAACTGTGAAATAAAAAGAACTGTAGCCTTCGACTTCTGAGCACACCAATGCTAACATGTTTCCGGTCTCAGCAAACTTGTATCAGCCTCATCTGCAGAAAGGTCTTTCCCCACCTACGCAAAGTCGGTGACTATCTGGTGTGAAGACCTACGAATGTCTAGACATAGCTGTACTAATATCAAAGGGAGTATGAACTCGAACTGAACTCAATAGAAACAAAATCATAATGAAGCAGCCGATCCCAGAACAAGTTTAATTACCTTTATGAGTGAAAAATACAGGCATAGAAGCGGAGTGAAGAAATGCAGAAAATGACAATCGATAGTAGGTCATATAAATAAAAAATGGCAGAATAATATATGTTATAAGAGTTCCCTATATTAGGACCACTGAAGCTACTTCATCATATGATAGCATTTAGTTCGATGTGCATAGACCTAAGATTGTGTAACATAGAGAGACCAGATCAAGTTTTTGGTGGAAGGTTTCGTTCTCCTTGCAATATAACGTCAAAACATCGGCACAATATCGTGATTACGATGATTGTTTGAAAAACAACAACAACCGACGAAAATCACATAGACTTCTCTCAAACACATAAGTCGCAGGTAAGAGTTCTGCAAGAGCGCGAGTGAGATGAACTTTGGATGGCTTTTACTGTGACTATGCTTCCAATAGGCAAATTCATGAAATGACCAATTTTCTGGTCTCCCCTCGATTTATTCTTTCAAGAAGGTTCCGTTAAACTATGAAATCATAGTCAACGCCAAATAGTTCGGTGATTACGAAATGTTAATGTTTACTCACTGACTGCCTTACATTAACGACATAATGATAAGATGTTTTAATTTCAGAACTTGAACTGGGAAATAAAATTGTGACTTATTTCATAATTACTTTATTGTTATAGAAATGTCCAGTTCTTCTCTTCATGATGAGCCATAACGAGCGGTAGTTAACACATCAAAAAACTAAGAACCTAGGTGGATTCAGGGTTTATCAAGGCTAAACTAATAGGTCACAATTGAGCTAATCGAATGAATTGTGAAACGCAACCACAAGGATTCTTAGAAATGAGCTACACTTAGAGCATTAATTGCGCTTGGAACCCTCGATTGCTCTTAATAGGGGGTTTGCGCTTTATTCACTGCACCAATCCAGTGCCTCTTAGATCATTTCCATTGATAGGTTATTGGTGATGGTACCCATAGAGTAAAAATAGTGTTGAAAGAAAGGCAAAAAACAGCCTCGATTAGTGGACTGGATTGACCGTGAGCCCGTGGTGAGAGTAATCGCGGGTTCAAAACACAACGGAGGTTCCCGGTTTTGCTCATGTCACCAAATCCTTGTGGTTATACATGATATTGAACCATGCCATGAAAGAAAAACATACAATAAACAAATGTCAAAAAATTTATTTATATTCTTGTTGAGCGAACACGAGATGTTATTTTATTTCTTTATTTAGGAACAAGCTGTTTCGGTGGATCTCGCCTTCCTCAGAGGTTGGAGAAGTCAAGTCAACTGCAATCTACCCAGCCAACCAGCTCCATAACCAAACAGGGGAAGTGCTAAAGCAACATTTTAATCATTTTAAATACAGAATAGCTTCTTTGCACACTCACCGCTTTCTATGACTCTTCCATTGAAAATGTCACGTGGAGACCAACCGCACAGAGTTCAGATAGAATCGTAATGTGCCCATCTTACCAGAATGACAGGCTTAAATACTGTCCAGTATCACGCGTGATTACGAGGCATTCCTCCCTGAGGCAGTACATTGTCGGATTTTTGAGATTAATCCACTATGCCCCGAAAGTTTTGCGCGCTTGTGTTTTCGACCCCTGTACGGTGATCGTAACTTCTACTTCAAAATCTTCCGTGTTATATCTCTTGTATCCTATGCGTGTCTAGTTGAGTAATCGGTTTAGCGTTAAGTTTGCCGACTACGTGTTCTTTTAAACGGAAACAAAGTGGTCTACCCGTTTCGCCAAAGTATTCGTCCCCGCACGCTTTACAAGCGATCAGATAAACTGTACCCGAAATCGTGCAATCACCGTCTCTACCGTTAGAACAAATTACGCAATTTTACGTTGTACATAGTCGGTCACACAGGCGCTGTCTTCGTAATCTCATAGTGAGGTATATGACATAAATTTCAACTACGCTATAAACAGAGCGCTTAGCGTAGTGGTAAGAGGTGCCCTCCAATACAAACGTGATCGCGCTACTCCCCGAAAAGGACAATAGCGCGTTTGCTTCCCACCGCATACACCTGCGGGCCGGAGTTTTGCAAAGATCTCAGCACCATTAAAGTTATATTTCACAAACATGATCGTTAGCTTGATTCCGCTTCCCGGATTTATCATATCTTCCATTCCTCCATGGCCAGCGAATTGGTACCATGCCTGACTGGGAGGGTAGTTGCACCGACTTGGTACAACGCAGACGCCAAATATGCTTTCATTCACCTTTAACGATGCTTGATGAAGTCGAATGCATGGCTCATCACTTAGGAATTAATCGTCGAATGCATTATTCTTTACCCTTTAATAAACAGCTTCCATGTTATTTAACTCTGTGTTTTAAATGATTTCATTGAGTGTCATCTTCATGTATTCGTCATCTTTCTTCAGCTGATGAGAAGACACTCCCTTAACATTCTAGTTTCTTCTGTTTGCACTTTCTTTCTAACGAGACATATTTCCAACGAATCGGTTGTAGAAATCAAAAGTGTGATGAAAATTATATCATAAAGTCACACTGTATGGTTAATGGTGGCGCGTCACTCTGTTATTCACCTAAGAACTTGCTTTAGCGTTATAGCAGTCGTAATATTTAGCTCATCTACCATTTCTGTCCATCAAATTTTTTCCCTTTGTGTCTTCCACCTTCTTTCCACCATTCAGGGCATTTAATTACTAACATTGCCTAAATAGCATCGCAAGGGAAAACTCTATCCGTCGTACAAGATGCCGGCACAACCATTTGTGTGAAGATGGGTCACTATTAAATTACTGTACTCGTAAGTCTGACATGATATTGTTAACATAGCTTTCACATAGAAATGGCTACTGTTTCACCAAGCCTCACTTTCATCTGAACCATTTTCTATCTAGTCAACTTCTTAAAAACGTGACCAACGACCACTTAACTAGAGTCCATATGAAATTAATAATATGGTATCGTACGACAAGAGGCGTATGTGGCGCAGTGGTCGGAGGCGCTCTGCAAAACACGTGAGATTGATCCTTGAGTCCTAGGCTTACCAAGTTTTCCATCCCTCCGGGGTCAACAAATTGGTACCAGATTTATCTGGGAAGATAACAGCACTGGATCTATACATCGGTAAGTCACCGCGAACCATTGAATAGGCCAGGTATGCATTCAATCACGTCCAACGATGCCTAATGAAGTAGAATGCATGAAAAACCCTTTTTATCTTCTCACATAATAATAACCACTTTCTGTTTTGGTAGCCTGTACGTTATGGCCAAAACTTACACTGAGTCGTCACCCCTTGTCAGGCCGGCCTACCCCTACACCACTTCTCATTTGTTTCTTTGCTTTGTAGCTGTCATAAGCATACGCTTCCGAGTTTGTCACTAGATTAAGTTGCTGTTCCAGGGTCTGTTATTTTGTTATTTCACTGGTTTAAACTAGTTGTTTGTGGTTTTTCGATGTATAATGAGATACCCGTGGTGGCGTATCCTCAGGCTTTCATTACGAAAATTACCGGCCTTGGTGAATCGAAAGGAAGCCTGCTCCCTTGCAACTAGAAACCTAATACGGCAGACCGATAGAGAAAGATGTAAGAGGACAATTCCCACTCTTTGAGCTTTAAATATTAATGACAACTAATATAATAGAACAAAAGAGACCTTTTCTAGGTAGTTGCTATGTTTTTTCGAGGAAAAAGATGTAATATTCAACAAGAAGAAAACCTACAAAGAACCATTTACTGATAAAATTGGAGAAACCATGAAGAACATCAACATAGGAACCAAGTCAAACAAGGCTGACAGATTACAGAGCATATATGACTATTAACGAATAGTCAAGGGTTGTACCAGTCTATGAATAACAGAGTGAACGTTATGACAACTATACAGAACAATACAACAACTCGACGACCAGCAGAGTTACTAATGGCCTAAAGATACTTCCATTTATTTATTAAGCCACAGTCAACATAAAGCTTGCATATTACCTGTCTAATCCACTCGTTCCCATCTCTTAGATTTTCTGAAGTATGCAACGCAGCTTCATTGATAATTTCAATATCCTTCTCTTGGTCCATTATCTGCAAATAGAAAAAATACATGAGATTAAAGACACAGATCAGTCATGGAGAAATGATCCAGTCACAACACTTTGCACTTGGTGATACTAGTACTGATTACAACAACTTGTAGATTTGATAGAAATAGGGCGACTAAAAAAAAGGATAAAGGTCTCGGCGTTGATCAATCCCTCAGGGATGAGCCATTCACTCGACTTCATTGAGCATCGTTGGAGGTGATTGAATGCATATCTGACCTTTCCAATTACTCGTGGTAGCCTACTGATGTATCAAGGCAATGTTTCCATCCTCCCAGAACAGTTTGGTACCAATTTGCTGACCCCGGAGTGATGGAGAGCTTTGTGGGCCTGGTGCGCGGGGATCGACTCCATGTGAATTGCAGGGCGCCTCATACCACTACAGTACATGCTCCCTAACGGAAATAGGATGAATAAAATTCTAGTAAAAATTTCCACATTTATTAAAACTAACTTTTCATGTAGTCATTGAAAGAAGACTAATGGGAGATTAAATGATACTTTATAAATAATGGTTCACCTTCTCAGCGAACGTCTCTTGTAATCTTTGAATTTCTGCGATCTGCGTCTCAAGTCCTTCGATCTGAGAGTGCATATGAGAGAAACGATCAAGTAGCCGTTCGTTTTCAGCCACCAATTGAGTGCGCTCTTCATAAGTGATCCGGGAATCGATATCTATAACATAATGTACAACTTCTATATACTGTCCATTATTTTTTCCACGGCAAGGTATTGTATGAAACACAACCACAATGTTGCTAAACTATCTGCAAAACTTGGATCCCAGGCCAGTGGGATCCAAGTTTTGCAGATATCTAACCGAGTGGGCTCACATGTTACCCACTGCACCACTGAGGCACTCGTTCTGGCTTACGATCAGCCAACCAGTCCTTTTATCTAAGTGTCATCAGTAATCACCTCTGAACGGGAATCCAGCATACTGGAATCATTCACGTACCCCGCTTTTAATTCGTAATCAAACAACATTAGCTTCGAGTCATCCACAATTCAACCTTTTTACCAGAAAAAGGGTTTAATGCAGGTATTACTCAAAATATCTGAACTTCAAGGCCAATGAATTTTATTATTGGAGAAATTCTAAGCGGACTCAACAAGGAACTAAAACGGTCACAATCTTAACCTTTTTATTTACTGCCTACTATCATTTCTAACGGCAGGGTATCATGTGAAATACAACTAAGATGATGCTGAGATATTTGCAAAACTCCGGACCGCGGATGTCTGCGGTGGGAAACGAACGCGCTATTCTCCTTTCCGGGGAGTAACGCGTTCACCACCACACCATGCTGGTCCTTCGTTTCGCCTGTTTCTCAGCTAGTCATAAAACGGTCACATCAGTTTAAATGGCTGACTAAGTTCTCTTAACAAAAACCTCAGTAATGACATGCCATACCTTCTCCGCTCTGCGATTCGAAACAGTGTATACCCGACTGCAGCGATTTGCTGTCATCATCAGCTTCGGGAGATTTAACGATTAGCGGACGTGATTCGCCATCAATATCTTGTTTTCCTTGCATATTTTCTGTAAATGATCAATTAGCCCCGCAGAAAGTGTGAACTACGCCAAGGCATCGCAGAGGTAAATATTTTTCATGATGTCGTAAAATATCTTATTATTGCAATTTTTCTTAATTCTACTAAATTTAAGATGAATTTAACAATTTTCTGGATACGTATCGTAAAAAATATTCAAGTATATGCTCTTGGCAATATTTCACGACAAGCAAAAGAATTGCATTTCCGTAGATATAGGTAGAATTCCAATATTTACAACAGAATTCATAAGGTAGTTTTGAAAACAGATTTCGTCAGGTGCATTGAACAATTTGACCAAAGGCAAAGAATAATTGATCCGCAAAAGTAAAAACGTAACCTTAAATACATTATGGTACCTAATACCAGCAATATTAGCCTATTGCCTTAACTTTCTATGGCACAACAACTGCAACCTTCTCCGGTATCGTTTCATTTCGGATGGATTTCTTCCCATTATACAATAGTTTTAGTTGCACCCATCCAACTATTTAGCAAAAAAATGCAATAACGGCTCTCTTTTATTAATTTATACCGTTACATCACAATCTGTACTTACTATACCGCCTTCTCCTGACATGTAACTGTGATTCAGGGGATTGCAATGGTGCAGTATTCGCCTCGCATCCCTCCTGTTTGTGTTCCCTCTCTCGTTTCTGTTTAGCTTCGACAAGATTATACAAACGCTGTACGTTCCGTTTCTGAGCAGCATTGCACAACCGAAGAGTTCTAAAAGCTTGAAGACATTTTATCTATACAGGTAAACTGAAATAACAATTTTAACTTATTATTTACTGCCTACTTTTTAGCGGTAGGGTATATATTGCGAAATATAACTTCAATGATGCTGAGACATTTGCAAAACTCCGGGCCGCAGGTGTATGCGGTGGGGAACGAAGGCGTTATTGTCCTTTCCGGGAAGCAACGCGCTAATGACCACACCATGATTATAACTGCAGCCTCAGCTTAACTGGGTTCATTGCCGATTTGTGCTCCCCAGATCAATTCCGCTGACGGGTGATTGCTGATGGGAAAAGGTCGATAGAACTAGTTGAGAGACAGGCGAAACGAAACACCTGCATGGTGTGGTGGTAAGCGCGTTACTCCCCGGAAAGGACAATAGCTTGTGGTTTCTCACCGCATACACCTGCGGTCCGGGGTTTTGCAAATATCTCAGCATCATTAATGAAATAACAATGTTAACTTTTTATTTACTGCCTATTACAATTTTTCACGGCAGGATATTACAACCACAATAATACTGAAAAAACTGCAAAACTCCGGACCGCAGGTGTCTACGGTGAGAAACGAACATGCTACTACCCTTTCCGGGACCTAACGCGTTCACCACTACACCATGCAGGTCCTTCACTTCGCCGGTCTCTCAACTAGTGGCAGTGAACGATATAAAACTAGGTGTTAGGTGGAAATACCTATTCGAGTCTCTAAATTAGATTTCTTGCTTAAATCACATCCACCATCACAATTGCCTTCGTGTAAAAACAACAGCAGCAAAGTTTCCTCAACGACTGTTACCTTCTCTTTTAAGGAACTCCGATTTTATTGTTCAAACATTATCATAAATCCTAAGGATGTCAGTATTTCAGTTAATTCTTCTCATTGTTTCGTAATTTGCTCTTGATATCTCATAAGACTATGCGCATAGATGGACCTCTTAGCAACAAGCGCGAGACAATTCATACTGATATCAATGTGCTATTGCCCGAAAATAATTTGAGCTTTCAATTTTAGACAAGCGTACCTCAGTCAGTGTTGAATTCTATGAAAAGAGATAAACTCTTCGAGATTATTCAAGACTTTTCACAAGAATATACGTTTTCCCACTTTTTCATCTCAATAAAATTCTGACTTCCTGGTTCAGGAAATCGTTATTTTTTCAACGATGCTCATATTTCAGACAGATAAATGAAATGAAAGACAACGGAACATGTTAACAGAGCATTTGATGAAACTGTCAAGCCCCGCTAAACGAAATGTCCGCTTGTTCGATTGGACCGCCTCCTTGCTCGAGATCTGCGTCTCGACAAAAAAGAACGAAAAACTTCGATCTGTGGGATTCAAAAAACCAGAATATCATCCTGGTAGACAATGCAAGAAAACATGTCCTATTGACTGTTCACAAATTTCTGCAGTTGTAATCACAATCTTAACTCTTTTCTTTACTGCCTTTTTCTTTTTAATGGCAGGGTATGTTGCGAAATATAACTCGTATATAATGCTGAGATATTTGCAAAACTCCGGACCGCAGGTGTATGCGGTGGGGAACGAACACGCACTGTTGTCCTTATCGGGGAGCAGCGCACTTTCTGCAGTTGTATTGAAACACTCTTTTAACATATTAATCTCATTTGCAGTATCTATCGACTTCTCACTAAATGAGTTCAATATGTGAATTGAACGTGATAGCAGTTAAAGCTAATTGTATAGATAAGATATAGATAGAATTAGCTGAGAAAGCGCAGCAAAGGACCTGCATGGTGTGGTGGTGAACGCGTTATTCCCCAGAAAGGATAATAGCGTGTCCGTTCCCCACCGCAGACACTTGCGGTCCGGAGTTTTGCTAATATCTTAACATCATCGTGGTTGTATTTCGCATTATACCCCGCCATAAAAATTGCAGTAGGCAGCAAATAAAAAGTAAGCATTTTAAAGCTAATTACTTGTAAATCTGAACAATAGTTACCGACGAGTATACTTGAACGCTCCCTGAGAAATTGCAAACAACTGGAGTCTTCTCAATCAGCTGGGTTTTTCACAGAGTTCGAGAGTAATCCTCTTTTGGCATTCCTAGGACGACATAACAGGTTATTGCCGACCCATGTACATCGGAAGGATTGTCGCGGCACAACTAAGTCTTTTCCATGGCGGCATCAATTCTTGGGATAGTTCTATTTCTAGCTACTTTCACTGGAAATCCTACGCAGATATAAAGCTCAAATAAACTAATTCAATGCTGAATCTACGCAATGCAGTTTGACGATCAAGAACTCCTTTTCGTCTGCGGAGAAAACCATTCAACTACTACAGCTAATATATCCTACAGTATCACGTTTAACCTAGTAAACCACAAAATAACTCAAGAAAAAAGTTCTGTTGGTCTCCGTCGCGCGATAGAACTGCCCTATAAAATTTGTTCGCTGAAGAGAAATGCAGGAAAACATGAGGTGCCATATCTCTACTTACTTTTGTGAGAATGCAAACATGGTTTTCTCGTCGTTCTCCTCCAAAGAGTGAACAAGGACCTTACTTGTCAGACAGTATTCCGAACCAGCTGTTATTTTTTACTCAGCAATTATCCAATCACATGGTCTTGGCTAAATTGGCGTCCGCGTAGGGTACCATCAGCATGCACGCAATCACATCTCGTAGAAAAACATGGATAGCATGAACAGCCACATTTCTATACGAAAAATGGAATCGAAACATCAAATATAATGAATTTATTCCTTTAATGCTCCTATCTCAGGCTAAACACGGCCGCACAACCTCGCGAATTATCTGGATGAGATCCCGCGTGAGATATAGGACATTAGGAGACCATTCCAAAGGATGAATCATCGTTTAACAATCGGAACGGAATCAAATCAACAATAGGATTCCAGTGCACATAATTCTCATATTCTTTTACACATTGACAACGACTCTTAATTCTGATCGATTCATGCGTATCGAGGACAAAAGGATAAAGCTCCTGCCGTTGATAAATCCCTGAGGGATTCACCATGCATTCCACTTCATCAAGCGTCGATAGAGGTGACTGAATGCATATCTAGCCTACACAATGACTCGCGATGGCTTACTGATGTTTCGAGGCAGTGTTGCTAACCTTCCAAACAACTGTGGTACCAATATGCCGACTCCGGAGGGATGAAATGCTCGGTCGGTCTGGGGCGCGGGATAGAACCCATGTGTGTTGCAGGGCACCTCTAACTGCTGGCTACACGCGCCCCCAGTTCATACATATTGCTCGATAAACAATGAATCTGAAGAGTTGAGAGTGCTTGTAGAAAGAACAGATTTCTTTTGTCGCCCAAGTGGTATGAATATTTTCTTTCAAGTGTTATTGCAATCCCATATTCTTTTAAAACCTAAATTTTCACAGAATTGAAGACAAAATTTAAATTTTTGGATCTTTAACATCAGCACGGAAGTGAGAACATTAACAATACAGTGGGAGAGACCATCGGGTCTTTCTGGATGAAATCGCGCTTACTCATATTATGGCCGACGTTTTTTACTTAAATTCATCCAGTTTAATGGTTCACCGAACTCACGGTGCCATGAAAAAACACTAGGGAGTAAATAAAAAATGATTACATTATTCTTTCTAAACTAGCGCGAGATTATCCCTTAGCAAGGACAATTCATAAGATATAAATTGGTCACTTATACCGAGGAGGTTCATTGAAAATCGGTATTTCGTATTGTTGAGGAATACCTACTAAGGCTAATTACTAAGAGTAAGTGGAGAAGCACCCAGTTGGGATAGGGATCTATTCTTAATCTCTGAAAGATTTATGAGCATTCAAGCTTATTTTAACAAACGAACGTTGATCTGCTTGAGCGTGTGCGACTCAAGTCATCTTGACACGTTAATGCATTTTAGATATAAAAGATGCTACCTCATATCTGTCACCATTTTTCCAATGCGTTTCAGATGTGTATCAAGGGAAGCGGCAACGAATGTGAGGTGACTTTTCTCCTCTCTCCTCGATAATAAGTCACTAGCAGTTTGAAAGGAGAAGCGTCGAGTAGCGTCCGATAATTGTGAGAGAACCTTCAAGTGAAAAAAAATTTAATTTAAAATGAACAACTATATACCAATAATATAAAAAAAGAAAACATTCATCTAATGTCAACATTCCTCCCAATGGTTTACCGCCTCATCGTGGCTGGGAGGTGTTCCTGGGTGTCGGGCTGCGATGTACATCGCGAGGATTGAACCCCTAGCAGTCTCCCATGCTGAGAACAAGTCCACCGTTTCCATCAGGAAGCCCAGCTAAGACCAATAACGGGATCCACCACCGTTCTGGTATCAAATTAGTCGCACGATGCAAATCTCCTTCTGATCCACAAATGTGGTGACTGCCTGTGGTGGTGACAACCTGGAGCAGACTTTAGCCCAGCTGACCTCGGGACTCCAAGGAATCACAATAACTAAACCAGCAAGTCTCCGAGAAGTGGAGATTATGTTGGGAGTCACACAATCAGTTAAGATGGGCCATCCAAGTATCCAAGTAAACATATATTGTCAATACTACATATACAACAGTATACAAACGTTGTTCTCTAAAATCTAGAATTTAGCGTCCAATCCTGAATTTCGATCGAAAAATACGGTAAAAAAAATCCCACTTTTTCGGTTTCTCTGTCGAACATGTCTCTTTCAAAATCATCCATGATTTGAGTTGGTGAGTTGAAAGATAAGTAGTCGCAACGTCGACTGAGAACTACCTGAACTCTTTTCCAATGGCGAAAAGGAAAGGAAGACAAAAAAAAGCCTGTGCATAACAAACCTGCTGGAATTCAACAATATCCTTTCCTAACGAAAGCGCATGCTCAACCATCTTTTTATATGCCAAAGAAGTTCTGAGATCTTCTAAACATCAATGATTTCTAATCATAAATATAGGATAGAAGGATAAAGTTCTTAGCGTTGATCTATCCCTGAGGGAAACGCCTTGCATTCAACTTCATTAAGCATCGTTGGAGGTGATTGAAAGCATATCTGGCACTTACAATGATTCACCGTGGTCTACCGATGTATCAAGCCAGTGCTGCTATTCTCCCAGACAAGTCTGGTCCCAAATTGCCGACCCCGAAAGGTGAAAGGCTTGGTGACCATGACACGCGGAGATCGCTCCTATGTGTATTCCAAGGCGTCTCTTATCACTGCGCTACACTCACCCACTTACAACCATAAGTGGAGAAAGAGTTAAGCAACGTTGTGGACAGAACCGCTTCTCGGGAGGGTTAATGGCTTCAATAATCTTTACCACGTCGAGACAGATTGCAAACTATTAACTTGGCCCCACCTTGTCTGTTTAAACCGTTTTCTTCGGCAGCCGCCACATCACATTTGTTCTTAAGCGTCTTCACACAAGCCTTGAAACACGGTGTTCGATCAGATGGCATAGTTATACTCAATGAATAAATATAAGTATCTATAAACGATCAGCATCAATGAATATTTGAATTCCACTCAATAATATTTTGAATATAATCATAATGATGCCGAGATATTTGCAAAACTCAAGACCGCTGGTGTCTGCAGTAAGCGACGAACACACTATTACCACTTCCGGGGACTAATACGTTCATCACCACACCATGCAGGTCCTTCATTTCGCCTTTCCCTCAGCAGTGTTATTGACTTATAGGTGCTGTATCGGCAATCAGCAATATGTTCAATGCCGGACTGGAACGACGTCTAGCAAATCCACATATTTTGAGCAAGGCAGGTATTAACCGGCAACGGAAGAGGACGTTTTCAATTAATCCAAAAGGAATAAAGACCATATTTATTTAAAAAAAGTATTCGAACACAACTATCGACTACCGATGTCGGAAAATTTTTAGAACATCGACAAAACTTGGAACAGCGAACATCAAAGACAATCAGCAACCAACCAGCCAACAGTAGATCTGCTACCAATGTTTGATCAATATACAATAAATTACGTTGTATAAAAACATCTGCAATGTTTCGGAAGATAAAACGGTGGATAAAGTGGGTCACAGAATGCATCAAACATGACGGACCTTATACAAGGAATGACTATCTAATCCGTTAAAAGAGAAAGGAACAAACACCAATCGAACAACAATTAGCACAAAACGAACATATTCGCCTACAAAGATTAAGAATGCTGGGAATAAATCCAGTTAATAATATTCAGTCAGCGGGCTTGAGGCATGTAAGGAATTGCTGGTACGTGAGAGAATGAGTGGAGTCGATGGGTCTAGTAGGTGGTGAAGGGCAGCTCGATACAGTGTCCTCAACCATGACTACTTTCCACTTACCCATAGCACAATGATAATGATAAGAATCACTGTGATGGCACACATAATGATCATCATCTTAATGTTTTTCCACCAATACTTCCTTTTGAGTGTTGCCGCAGACTTCTCAAATTGAGATGCACCTTCCTGAAAAATAAATAGCGTTAATGCTACGAAGTGATGAATCATGAATACAAGGATAAAGCTCTCAGCTTTGATCAAGCCCTGAGAGACGCGCCATACATTCGACTTCATTGGGCATCGTTGGACGTGATTGAATGTACATCTGGACTTCACAACGACTCGCGATGGCCTACCGATGTATCGAGCCAATGCTGCTATCCTCTCAGACAGGTCTGATACCAATTTGTCGACCACGGAGGGATGGAGAGTTTGGTGGGCTTGGGGCGCCAGAATCCATCCCATGTTTATTGCAGGGCGCTACTGACCACTGCGTTACATGCGCCCGTTAAGTGATGAGTTACGACGAAAAAACTTTACAAAGGAAGATACTTGATACCATATTTATGAAAATATCACCTGGAGAGCATCAGCACGATCGTCAAGTTGAGATAGCTTCTGATCACGTTCCAGCACTTTTTCTACATTTACCTGCAACAGCAATGTGTATAGACAGTAATGCCTATCAGCTTCCAAAACATGTATAACCCTAATAAACAGCTAGCATCTTTCTTATTATAAAATAAACCTAAATCTTAAATAGAGCAGACGTCTTTCACTAAGTGCCCACTCCATTAGGAACTTTGCAATAGATCGTCGAAGACCGAGGAGATATTTGAAGGCAAAATTATTCCTGACTGAACTTTTCCCCTTACTAACTAACACCACGGTGAACGCAATATCGACTTTCTTAATATAAGTGTACCAATGAAGGTACTAGCTAGGTGGACTATGACAGCAGTTAATTTCGCCGAATTTACACTGTACTCTTAAACTATGGAGTTACAGAATTATTGGGTAACCCACTTTCCCCAACTGTACAGTTATGACCTGTTTTATAAACAGCAACCACTCTGTCTATTTATAAGCGAAGTTCATACGATAATAGCAACAAGTAGTTCAAGTTTTCGATATATAGCACCAATTCAGTGTCCGAAGCTTTTTTAAAAAGTAAAAAGAGCAGAATAAAGTGCGCTATATAAAAATACAAGACTGTTTTAGAATATGACCTTCATGATCCCAACCACTTCGTCGACTTGCGCTTGCGTCTGCTGCAAGCGCTTATTCGATGGTCGCGGTCCTTGACTTCCTCCAGCTGCAGCTCCTGCATCTCCTTGACCTAAACAATGCAAGTAAGAATCTCCGACAATATACCAACAGCTATCGAAATGGAAAAACAAAAAAGACGGTTGAAAGCTAGAAGGATAAAGCCCTCAGCGGTGATCTATCCATGAGGGTTGGGCTATGCATTCGACTTCATTACTCTTAGAGGTGACTGAGTGCATATCTGGCCTTTACAATGGTCCGCAGTGGCCCACCGATGTATCGAGCCAGTGCTACTATCCTCTTAGACAAGTCTGCTACCAATCTGCCGACTCCGGAACGATGGAAGGCTTAGTGAGCGTTAGGCGCGGGGATCGATCCCGTGTGTAGTGCAGGGTGCCTCCGACCACTGAGCTACACGTCCCCAACAAAGACGGTTATAAAGGTAAATCTCACAGGCTATAGCTCAAAGACATCAAAAAGTTTAGGTGAAAAACCTGTAATGAGAAACAAGTAGAGAAACTGAACTCACCTTCCATCTCTCTATACGTGTAAGATACCGAATAAAACTGGAGGCACTTTACCTGCAAAAAGTGAAAAACAACTAAAAATCACATGAGCATAAATGAACAGAAAACATGTCGATATTGTCATAACAAAAAGAAACGGCAATGACCAAGAATGATGAGTGAGAAATGGAACTAAGTACTCCGATACTAAGAGTAAAGTGAAGACACTGACTATACTCAGGAAGCTTCAACAATAATCAAGACAGAATAATGGATAGAGTCCTCTTCGAAGTACGTGAAAGGTATTACACGAATCCGCTCAAAAATTCGATACTGGTGCTCTTTTCAATAAGAGAAGCAGCACCGTAAGCTGAAGGACCAGTTAAAATGGATAGGACAACTCATTCAGGACCTAATGGACTATGGAGTACAGCTGTTACGAGAAAGCGCCATATTAGTCCTAGTGGAGCCCCGTACGGCTGATCAATGGTGATAAATTTTGGCCAAAGAAATATGAACATAGAGAAGAAGAAAACATACCACTGAAGACTACTTTCTACGTGGCTTTAAAGCTAATTTCACTAACCTCTATAAAAGAAGAGCACGTTACCTGACACTATAAAATGTTTTCTATGAAATTACTTTGACAATTTAATGGCTTCTTTTCTCCGTCACGTTTCAGGAAATCCGTTATACAACATGTTGATGGAGCTATAATTTACAAGACGTGGAAGGACATATTGACCACTACACAAGCCCTGTGATAACAGAAAAGGGAATGGTGGAGATTTCTGATGTTCACAGTCTATATATAATCCTTATAGCCTATAATATCCTTTGATGGTCAACATTTTTGTCCATTCTCCATTCAAATCACTTTTATGATTAACTATCATAGAAGAATGCTATAATCCAATTACCACTGACATTCTTATGTTCACTATAAAAAAAAAACTATTGGGCAAAACGCTATTATTTCATACAACGATGTCTAGCGTGCCAATAAGCAACCCCGCTATAAGCTTTCAAGCTAATTTTGAGAGAAGCGTTCAAGTGCTTCTCACGGAATTCACACTAAGAGTTGTGCCACCATTTCAGTGTATTGACTGGTTGTTTGTCAACATGAAGTTTTTACTTAAGAAAGAGAGCAAGACCATCTAGTACAATGGGTTTTATGACAAGTTTTATGGCATCACACATGTATAATATGAAAAAAACAAAGAAGCAGAACTTAAAGTATAAAGGATAAAGTTCTTAGCGTTGATCTATCCCTGAGGGAAACGCCTTGCATTCAACTTCATTAAGCATAGTTGGAGGTGATTGAATGCATATCTGGCCTTTACAATGACTCGCGGTGGCCAACCGACGAATCGAGCCAATGCTGATATACTCCCAGACAAGTCTGGTACCAATTTGTCGACCCCAGAGAGATGGAAGGCTTGGTGGGACACTAGCACGGGTATCGATTTCACATGTGTGTAGCAACGCGCCTCCGATCACTGCGCCACACGCGCCGCTAAAGAAGAACATACCGCGGATAGTTCCCAGGATCGACTTTCTATTAACCTCTGCACTGGGTTATAAATTCGTCGTTTTCTCTTTCAGCAATCGCGAGGTTGTTAAATAGCATACGTTTATTTTCATGCAATAACACACATACAACTCAACCGTGGCTGACGTTTCGACAGTATCGCCTTCTTCAGAACCGCGTTTACGTGCTTTCCACGGAAGAGCTTAAAAAAGGCAGTCGTCAACCATATAAGACTCTGATTAGCAGGTTACGCTCAATGGAAGGCACGTAAAAACGGCTCTAAAGAAGGTGACACTACTGAAACGTCGGCTACGATTGTGTTGTATGTGTGTTATTGTATGGAAACAAACGCATGCTGTTCAACAACCTTGCGATTGCTGAGAGAAAAAACGACGAATTTATAATCCAGTGCCGAGGTTAATAGAAAGTCGATCCTGGGACCATTACACAAACACAGGAAGTGCAAAAATCAAGAAGTGCACACATCGGTAGGGGACCGCGAGCCATTGTAAAGACCAGATATCCATTCATTCATCTCCAACGATGCTCCATGAATGGATGGCGGATCCCTCAGAGATTGATCAATGCCAAGAGCCTTATCCTTTTTTTTATGAAATGCTTATGAATAAGAGTAATGGTTAGAATTGTCGCAAAGAACATGGTCTTCTGAACATAAATTTCTCGGGGCTTCCACTTTTCCACAAACGGTCCGGAGGTTTTTCTGGTATCTCGAAACATTGTGCTGTAAAACAAAATCTTCTTTAAAAACAAAGGAGCACAAACATTATGATTTGTGCATGAACGCAAGTATCCAGCCCATTTCAGCTTGTATACAATCATAATCAAAATCGACGTTTACGTGTTTGATCGCAAAACAACGTTAACATCCACGACCGACTTTCTATTAAACCTCGGCATTGATCAAGTAATTCCTCGTAATCTTGCTGAGCAAACGCGAGGTGTTACCTTTATTCTTTATTCACGAATAAACTGACGTTTCGCCGGATTTCGCCTTCCTCAGAGCCTGGAAAGGTCAAGCTGACCGCAATCTATTCGGCCAAACACCTCCATAATCAACGCTAAAGCAAGATTTCAACCACATTGAACACAGCTTTGCACACCCACCGCTTCCCATGAGGCTTCCACTGAGTGTGTCGCGTGAAGACGAACCGCAAAGAATTCACATGGAAGCGTAATGTACCCCTCCCATCAGAATAACAGTCTTATATACTGTCCAATATCACGCCTGATAATGAGGCATTCTTCCATGCGGTTCATTTTTGGATTTCTGGAATTAATTAAGAACACCTCGAGAGTTTTGCGCGCTTGTGTTCTCGATTGTTGTGCGAGGATCGTGACACGTACTTCAAAGTCCTCCCTGTTATGTCTCTGGGTCCTATGCGTGCCTAGTGGGGTATTTGGTAGACGTTTGCCAGCTAGGTGTTCTTTTATGCGAACACAGAGGGGTCTGCCCGTTTCGCCAATGTATTCGTCTCCACAGGCCTTACAGATCAGATAGACTGAACCCGAACTCATGCAGTCACCGTCTCTACCATTGGGACAAATTATGCAATTTTGCGTTGCACATAGACGGTTATATAGGCGGTTACGAACTAGCTGACGCCTAAGATTACTCGGTGGAATTTCAACTACGTTTACCGAATTCTCTAGACACGCCTTTCTTAAGCAGCGTTTTATAGCTGCACTTACATCATTTGAGATGAAGGTAGGATAAACGGGACCTTTCTATCATTATATTACGCTTCCATGTGAATTATGTGGGGTTGGTCCTCACGCGACGTACTCAGTGGAAGCCTCCTAGAAAGCGGTGAGTGTGCAAAGGATATGTTCAATGTGATTGAAATCTCGGTTTAGCGTTTTCTTTATTTGGTTATGGAGGTGTTTGGCCGAATATATTGCAGTCAACTTGACCTTTCCAGGCTCTGAGGAAGGCGAAATCCGCCGAAACGTCAACTTATTCATGAATAAAGAATAGAAGTAACACCTCGCGTTTGCTCAAAAGAATACGAAGAACGTTAACATCGTTGTTCGTCGACTTAGAACTCAAATACTGCACAAGGTAAATGAAATTCGAAAGATCTTTGAATTCGAGAAATTTGCAGAGTTGACATATCAACGCAAACAACCTCCTAGCACTCTAATAACAAATGGTGTTAAAGTAAATAAAGCCCAAAGCATTACTATTACCAGTGATAAGGAGAAGTGCCCAATTATTTATTGTTTTATAATAAATATTTTGCCGCAAGCATAAATTAAGATCTCAAGCACTCATAGATCTGCTGATTACATTTTAGTAACTGATTACGTTCCCCCAACGGTTTACTGCCTTGTCGTAGCTGGGAGGTTTTCTTGGGTGTCGGGCTGCGAAGTGTATCCACGCAGCAGAACCTCCCTAGCCGAGGAGGCCGGTGTTTCCACCGCGAAGCCTAGCTAAAAGTAAACCAATACCAGGATCCACCACGGCCCTGGTATTAAAGTCGCATGGTGGCTAACCTCTCCCTGATCCACAAGGGCGATGACTGCCTGTTGTGATGACGACTGGGACAGACATTTGTTCGTCTGACCTCAAGACTTTGGGGAACCATTACAGCTAATGCAGCAAAACTCCGAAAAATGAAAATTATGCTAGAGCCCGCACAACCAGTGAGGATAGGCTATCCAGGTATCCAAGCACGTAACCTATTACGTTCAAATCCTAAAACTAAGCAAAACTTCCGACGCATGGAAACATCCGGGATTCTCCGGTCAACTCCTTAATATAACGGCTACAGACGTCATCATGCTAATGGAAGCTTCCGCAAGCGTATTTTCATTGCAATGAGAAGCAGTGGAAAATTAAACTTCAAAAAAATATCAGAAGCATGAAAATCATATGTTACTGAATCGAGGAAAGATGAAGTGTCTTCGTTAACTGGCAATTCCTAGAAAAACAGAGGAAATGCATTCATCTGGAATGCATATGTTAACGAACAATGTAGCATCCAACAGACTATGAATGCTAATGCAGCAAGCCATGAATGCCACAGAG